AACAAACATTCTCTTCCCCATTTAATGGATTTGGGCCCATTGGGTTTTTAAGGCTGTAAATCTTTACGGAAGTACATTGCCTCATCTTCCTCCTATGCGGCTGGTGGGTTCTAACCGCTTACCTTTCGGTTAGCAGCCCAGTGCCTTAAGCACTTAAGCCACCAGAGTTCCTTATTATAACTATTCTAGGTGAGGAAACAATCAAATTAAGTCTTTTGCCTCCTATCCCTCAGCTTTGGCAAGGTGGGGCTGGGAGTCAAGCCTGTGCCCCCCAATATTGAGCTCCCATCAGGACAGTGTTATTACATCTTACTGCATTTTGAATCCTTACACTCTACCATAGCATGAGATACCTAATAGGTGCTCAGAAAAGTTAAAAAAAAAAAATAAAGGGTAAAAAAATAAAGGGTGAGGCTGAACTGGGCAGAGGCCAGGAGTCAGGCAGGGCAGGACCAGAGGCAGGGTTCACAGTGGTCATGCCCCTCGCCCAGGACGGCTACATCGACTTCATGGAGTACGTGGCTGCGCTGAGCCTGGTCCTCAAGGGAAAGGTGGAACAGAAGCTGCGCTGGTACTTCAAGCTCTACGACGTTGATGGCAACGGATGTATCGACCGCGACGAGCTGCTCACCATCATCCGGGTAACTCCAGGTGCAGAGGGCTGCCAGGGTTGGGAGCAGTTGCTCCAGGTGGGACCTGGAGCTGAGAGTCCCAGGATTGGTCCTTAGAAGGCGGAACTGCAGTCTCAGAAGAAGACAGGATTGAATGTTCCGGAGGCAGCTGTGGCCCTAACCAGCTGCCTTTCCGAGGACACGTCCCATTCCCTCTCTGGGCCTGTTTCCTCATTTATTATACCAAGCACATGTGGATGCTCAGCTCCTAAGTCCCAGCTCTGTCAAGTGCCGGGGCACCTTGGTCTCCACTCTTCCTTGCTGTTGGAAGCCAGAGAATATTTCAATGCCCCTACTCCCACCATTGAGACAAAATGAACATGAGACCACTCATTTCTCCCTTTTCTTCTCTCTCAGGCCATTAGAGCCATTAACCCTTGCAGCGACTCACCCATGAGTGCAGAGGAATTCACAGATTTGGTGTTCTCCAAGATCGACATCAATGGGGATGGTAAGGGGGCCCGCAGTGGGGTTAACCAGGGATGTGGAGTCACCAGAGGTGGGGGGTCACCAGGGTGGGGTTGTCAGAGGTGGGAGGTCACCAGTGCAGGAGGGGAGGAGGAGGCACAGAGGGCCCTCTGCTTGTTACTGTCCCCATCCGCCTGTGCCCTGGCCACAAAGTTGGCTTTTAGGGACCCATGGGCCAGAGTTTGGGGCCTGGCTCCCACCACCTGCTCCACTCACAGGCCCCTTGCACCATCATTGGTTCTGCCCTGGCCCGTTGCAGGAATCCAGCTCTGGACCCTGGGCTGCAGACTGTGAAACTGCCCCTCTCCCTTGACTCCTTTTTCTCTCTACCCCAGGGGAGCTCTCCCTGGAGGAGTTCATGGAGGGCGTCCAGAAGGACCAGATGCTCTCGGACACGCTGACGCGCAGCCTGGACCTTACCCGCATAGTGCGCAGGCTCCAGAATGGGGAGGAGAGCGAGGAGGGGGCAGGGGACCCAGCGGCCAAAGCAGCTGGCTGAGCTGAGGCCGGCTGCTTCTTCTACCTTGGTTGGGGGGAGGCGTGGTGGTGCCTGGTGTCATTTTTGTTTTAATACTAGACAGAATCTACTGAACTCAGAGGCTCAGCTTGCCACTTTGGGGTGCACGGTGATGGCAGCGAGAGGGAGGGGTGGGAGCCCAGAGCAGAGGACAGTGGAGACTTCCCTGGACCCTCTGGGTGATTCAGCTGGTGGGGGTTGCCTCCCCCTTGTTCCTCCTAACACTTCACCCACCTTTCCACACTGAGCTCCTCCAATGCCAAGAGCTTCCAGGCATGAAAGCTTGGGGGCAGCGCTGGGCTTTTCTGGGACTCTGATGGCATCCCCTAGATCCTGCCGCACAGCTTCATTCCCTGTTCTGCAACTGCACACCCATCCCTCCACCAGGAACCCAGACCTACTTGTGTGGTCGTATTTATTCATTCCTCCCTTCAGCAAGTGATTATTGAGTACCTACTGTGTACCAGTACTAGATGTTGGATACCAAAGTGGACAGCCCTCATTCTCAAGAAACTCACTGGTTGAGGGAGGGACACATAGAGAATCATCATTATACTAATCTATGTTCATAGAAGTTGAAGGTGTGGTCAGATTCCTGTAGAAGAACAAGGAACTTGGGAGGGGGTCTCACTCAGAGGTGGCACCACAGAGGTGACCTTTTCTTCTCGTGCCCCCCCCCATCCCTGGAAGCTGAGATGAAAGGAGTGTCTGGGAGGGTGGGGTTGGGAGAGTGGTAGCCATGGTGACAGAGGTGACCTTTGACTTTGGACATGAAAGAGGAGTTGGGGAGTTGCACATGGAGAAGGAGGTGATGTGTGTGGAGAGATTGGGGGTGCTATATAATGTATGTGTATGTGTGAGGGAGTCTGTGTGATATGGGGAGGAGCTTTCTTAGGTGTAAATAGGGGGTATCGCTTAAGATTTAGAATTTTATGAACTTTGAGACATTTTTAGGGCTCATCATCAAGGGACCTAGTAATTGAGAAAACCATTCCTTGAAGGAGTTCTGGTGGCATAGTGCCTAAGGCATTTGACTGCTAACCAGAACTTTGGTGGTTCAAACCCACCAGCCACTCCACAGAATGAAGACTGGGCAGTCTACTTCCATAAAGATTTAACCGCCTCAGAAACCCAAAGGGGGTGCACTATGAGTCAGAATCAATTCGATGGCAGTGAATTTTTTTTATTCCTTGAAGAAGTTTATAATGCTACCATGGAGACAAAGATGACATGTTCAGATGACCATAGAGATCTGAATTATGACTGAATGACTGGTTGTGGTGTGGGAGCACGTACATACATTCAGACCTCTGGGAGAGTCTGCTCAAGTCTAGTTTTGGCCAGAAAGTGGGACCAGGAAGAGCTGGGCCTACAGAAATCCTCCATTCATCCAGAGGAAATGCTTATTATGGAGAAGTGACTGCACCAGCCCCTCCTATTCCCCTGCTGTCCTTTCAGGGGCAGGTAGTGCTGCATGGTTCCTGCTATGGACTGAATTGTGTACCCCCAAAATACATGATGTAAATCTTAACCCCTACACCTGTGGTTATAATCCCATTTGGGAATGGGTTTTGTTTGTTAAGAGGCCATAAGAGGGTATATTCTAAGCTGATCACCTTTGAGATATAAAAAGAGCAGGTTAGGTATAGAGGAGTAGAGATGGGGAGACAGATGCCACACCATGTGAGGACCACCAAAGGACCAAGGAACAAGGACCTCCCCTAGAGCTGACAGAGAGAGAAAGCCCTCCCCTAGAGCCGGCACCCAGAATCTGGACTTCAAGCCTCCTAAGCTGTGAGAAAATAAATTTGTTTGTTAAAGCCACCCACTTGCATTATTTCTGTTATAGCAGCACTAGGTAAGACAGTTTCCCACATACCTGGGACTCACTGATCATGACAAGTGACCTGCCTGTCCCTGGTCTAACCTAAATACCTCTTGCTGCAGTGAAAAGTGACACCAGTTGAGAAGTGGAGGTGACTGTTGGGGAGCACTCCCATTCTTTGCACACTCCTTTAAAAACACTTTGCAAGCACACATAGATTGCTCATTCAAGGTAGGTATTATCAGCCGTGCCCATGATTTACAGCTGCCTAGATGCTGTAGGACCTGGCGAAAGACATGGGGGCTGGGGCTGGGAGGGGTCCAATTTCAAAAGATGCTCTTACTTCTGGGCTTTGGGTCTTCATGTCAGCTGGGTGGAGGGGGTAAACAAGAGGAAGGTTGGGGAGAGCCACTGGGGAGAGGAGAGGGTATATTTCACTCACACTCATCCTGCCTATTGGGAGCTGTTCTGATTACCTAGTGCCACTCTGACAGAAATATACCACGAATGGATGGCCTTAGCAAACATGAGTTTATTCTCTCACAATTTTGAGGCTTTAAGTCTACGTTCAAAGTGCCAGGCTCTAGGGGCTGGGTGAAAGCCCCTCAGCCTTGGGCTTTAGCTCTGCCTCTTGCTCTTGGCCCACTGAAGTTAGAGGCATCTCTTCACTACTGGCTACTGAGGCTAACAAGCCCAAGGTCAACAAATAAAATGGCACAGTCCCGATGTTATCAAACTACATAGCAGGCCATTAATTCAAGTCCATTGTAAGTCTCAAGGTTGGCAGAGCATGGCAGGCTGCTGAACAGCAACACAGCTACATGCTAAGCGTGCCACAAGCTAGAGACCATTCCCAAGACTTCTCCTTATATACAGGAAGTAGACCACATACCCAAAACAGCTACTCAGCTGCTTGTGGTAGATCCCACCATGGAGTTGATTGCCAGTCTCATCATGGGGAATAACTACCACCAGCTGCCCAGCCACTCAACCAGGCCCAGCCAAGTTGACATACAAATTTAACTACCACAGGAGCTCTGCTGGCATAGTACCTAAGGTATTTGACTGCTAACCAGATGGCTGGCAGTTCAAACCCACCAGCGACCCCTCAGAAGGAAGACTGGGCAATCTATTTCCATAGAGATACCGCCTCGGAAACCCAAGGAGGTATTGCTATGAGTTGGAATTGACTGGATGACAGTGAGTTTGGTTTTGGTTTATCCTACCTATCGATTGTACCACCTGGACTGGGAACTCAGCCAGGACTGGAGCACAGGCATGGAGGAAAGGCGCAGGGGCAGCTGGGGGGAAAATTGACATGTTTGCTCCTTCTCTCTTGCTAGCTGCCTCTTGGGAAATCCCGAAGGTCAGCTGGGAGAATATCTGTACAGGACATTTCCCAACCTCGTTCATGTACCACCTCCATGACTGGGAGCCTATCTGTGTACCACCTGGGTTATTATTAATATTTTTTATTGTGATAAATATAGATGTAACAAAACATTTGCCATTTCAACAATCTTCACACGTACAGTTTAGTGACATTAATTTTGTTTGTCATGTTTTTTTTAATCAACCAGTTTTTTAACCTAAAATTTATTTTTGAAAAAAATTATAATGATTAACACACCAAGGAGACTGCAGGTTCAATAACTATAGTTTTTCATACATCAATATAAAAATGCATCTATTCCAGTTAAAGCAAACATTTTTTCTAGCAACCACCTTAGATCATCTCTCAGGAGTGACACTGACCCAGGGAACTGGTTTTTCATCATGTCTCACAGGTGCCTCAAGCTCCAGGGGAGCACAATGTTCTGAATTCTCCACTCCCCTTCAACCACGGTGACTCCATTAAAAAAAAAAATGTATAGAAGAAAACATTTACCATTTCAATATTTTTCCGTGTACAAGTCAGTGACATTCATTATGTTCATCATGGTGTACAACCATCACCACTATTCACTTTCACACAGAGTGACTCCATTTTGATCTAGTTCCTATATTGGGGTTGCACATAAAAAACTGTGTAATACCTATAGTTCACGTCTAAAAAAATAATAATCTGAAAACTGTTCACCTAGTCTAGGCTGCTCACTGTGCAGATGAGGTGATCAAGGGAGGAGAAGTGGCCTGTCTTGGGTCACAGCATGGTTGGAGGCAAAGCCTGGCCCAGAGCCCAGGTTGACAGGGTCCCAGTTTCCCTGGGAGTCAGAGTGGTGGTTTCCTCCATTCTTTAAGGAGATACATTTGGCTGTGGCTGGCAATCAGGGAAAGTTCATTCAAGCCTTGGGGAGATTAATGGGGGAGGACTTGGGGGATGACAGCAGCACAGGAAAGCTGAAATGTCCGTATTAAGCACATCCCACCTCTCCGAGGGGCTAAAAGACAATAGCTATCTAGCTTGCTGCAATTTTCCCTTGACATAACTTGGTGGGAGGCCTTGGGGAGGAGGAGGCAAGAGTCCTCCCCATGAACACCTGCAGGGTCCTGGTGGGGGATGCAATTTTTATTCCCCCACTCCTACCTCTTCTTCAGACTCAACCTCTCCAGGCCCTACCTTCTATCAGTCTTTGCTTTGTACACTGTAAGTATGGGGGTTCTTATTGAAGATTTGGTCTATGGAAGCCTCCACCCCTCAGCTGGCCTCTTTCTAACCGAGAACTACCTAGAAACTTGTGGAGGTCTCACAACCCTGCCAAGGCATTGTTTTACCAGGAGGAGCTGGTAAAAAACCCAGCTTCTTGTACTACCCAATAAAATGGACAGTGCCCTGTTGGCCACTTCGGGCTCAGTTGTCCCCCTCCTGCTCCACTCACCAACCTACACAGGGTGAAGTCTGAGCCTGGATAAGAGTGAGCATGATGGGGCTGAGCCAGGGACCCTCCCTCTACTTGTAAACCTGGGTGAGCTTGGAGTCTTGGAGGGGCTGTTGGTTCCTCCAGGTCTCCCAGGGCCTGACCCTCAAAACATGGCACTTTTCCGCCTCTGCTGAGAGATCCAGCCACCGGGATTCATGTCCATATGGAGCATCTTCATCACCCACTTGTCACGGCGGGCTCCTTCAAGGAACTCATCCAGAGACAGCTGGCCTGAGCAAGGAGTAGCAGAGAGAATCATTTGGGGAGAGGGGAAGGAAGGGAGGTGCAGCAGGAGAAGAAATCTCTCCCTTGGGTATAGCTACATCTCTTACACAAACTAGCCTGTTGTTTCAGGTGCTAAGCAGATAAAACTAAACTCAAGCAGATAGTCTTGTCAGTTCTCCAATTCTCCAGGAGTCTCCTAAGACTCAAAAGGGGCTGGCTTTGCAGATGAGTTGAAGCTCTAATTTTGTTCTATGTTGTTGTTAGGTGTCGTTGAGTCAGTTCCAACTCATAGCAACCCTATGTACAACAGAGCGAAACGCAGCTCTGTGCTGTGCCATCCTCACAATCATTGCTTGAGCCCACTGTTGTAGCCACTGTGTCAATCCCTCTCACAGAAGATCTTCCTCTTTTTTGCTGACCCTCTATTTTATCAAGCATATGTTCTTCTCCAGGGACTGGTCCTTTCTGACAAATGTCCAAAGTACATGAGAACAAGTATGTGCCCCTAAAATACTGGGTGGAGCTGACAAGTTCTTGAGGGCTCTTCTAGGGTATGTTCTAAGCCAGCTTTGTCCCTGCATAACTTGGGGCTGGCCATTGAGCTACAGAGAGAAGAGCCTAAGTCCCTGGATGGCACAAATGATTAAGCACTTGGCTGCTAACCACAAGGTTGGCAGTTTGAACCCACTCAGATGCAACTCAGGAGAAAGACCTGGCAATCTGCTTCTGGAAGGTCACAGACATGAAAATTCTGTGGAGCACAGTTCTACTTTGAAACACATGGGGTCACCATGAATCAGAATCAATTCAATAACAACTGGATACTGGATATATCCTACACCCGGCACTTAAATACATTATCCTACTTATTCTTCTCAACCACCATCATTATCCTCACTCTCCAGATGAGAAAACTGAGACCAGCCAGGAGATTAAATGGATCATCCTGGCCTGCCTGACTCCCAAATTCCTGTTATGCTCATCCAGCCTCCATCAGCAGCTCCTCTAAGAGTTTTAATGACTCTTGCCAACATCAAGTGACATCACTTGTTATTTCATACAATCCTTTCACCCCATCTCACAGATGAGCATACTAGTCATTGGGAGGTAGATGGCCTCGCCCAAGTTCACACACCCAGAAAGTGGGGGTGCTTCAGAGTGGACAGCCCTCCCACCGCCATCTCTGCCCGTGTTACCATCTCCATTCTCATCCACCAGGAGGAAGATCCTGTCCACCACCTCCTCAGGCGTGAGCAGCTGGCCTTGCTGCTCCACCTCCATCTCCACCTGGCAGGCTTTCTTCAGCTTGTAGATCGCCTGCCGGAGAAAATCAAGCCACACCGATGGGAGGCCTTGCAAGCCCTGTGACCCACATTTCTCAGCATCCCCTCCCCAGCACTGGTCCCCCAGGCTGCTCACCTTGAAACTACATGACCAAATAAAAACCAAGGCTATTCTCTCAGAGTCCAATGGGCCACATTCCACCTGAGGGGTTCCTGGGTGACATGTGAGCATCCATGCTGAAACCCAAGGGCTCTAATGAGGGATGAGTAAGTCACTGCAATTAAACCTTTTAGAGCTGGAGAAACTCCACTGGTCTACACTCCATTTTATAGAGTCAGAGAACAAAAGAGAATTCAGTATATTTGTGTGTATGTGTGTACATGTGAAACAGAATGACTGGAGATGAAAATGTTTGGACTAGAGGAGAAAGAGTAGGTTTCTCCTTTGCCCTGCCTCCTCTGCAAATGAGACAACATATATGAAAACATTATGTTCATTGGGAAGAGAAAGACAAAATGAGGACTATCCTTGGTTTGTAGACTGGACATTCTCTGAGGACAGAGGCTGTGTCTTCTTGATCCCTGGTCTCGTGGCCTACCACGGCACCTGGCACAAAGCAGGCAGCCACTAAAGATGTTTGGGAGGCTGAGGTATCAAGTCCTGCTCCAGCACTTTCCAGGTACATGAACCTTGGAAAACTGCAGCACCTCTGTGAGGCTGTTTCCCTATTTATAAAATGGTGCTAACAATCTCCACATCATAATGTAGCTGTGGGGGTTAGACAGGCAATACAGGTGAAGTGTCGGTCTGGGATAGAGCAGGTGTTCTTTCTTTTTTGTTAGTGATCTATCAATTTTATTAGTCTTTTCAAAAACCAACCTAAGGTTTTGTTGACTTTTTTTTTTCTTTTGTGTGTTTGTTTTCTATTTCATTAATTTCTGCTTTTAATTATTTTCTTCCTTCTACTTTCTTTGGGTTTAATTTACTCTTCTTTTTTCTATTTCTTGAGATGGCTTCCTAGATCATTGATTTTCAGTTTTTCTAATATATACATTTTAAGGTTGTAAATCTCCCTGCAAACCCAGCTTTTACCTGAAATCTATAAGTTCTGGTATGACACATTTTCATTTAAAACAAAATTCAGTTCAAATACTTCTCTGGTGTGTGTGTGTGTGTGTGTGTGTGTAATTATTTCTTTGATTCATGGATATTTAGGAGTATACTGCCTGATTTCAAAACAGATGGGAATTTTCTAGTTATCTTTTGTTACTGATTTTTCGTTTAATTCCACTGTGGTCAGGAAACACACTGTGAATGATTTCAATCCCTCTCCCTCAACCCCTGCCCCAGAGGGAATAACACTTCAGCTGACCACCTCCAGACATCTCTCAGAGCCCAGTAGTGTTCAAGTGTCCTGTGTCTGGGCCTCACAGGCAGAGACACTTACTTCCACAATGTCCAGCAGCTCCAGGCGATCGATGCTGCCATTGCGGTCCTTGTCATAGATCTTAAAGGTCCACTTCAGCTTGTGCTCCAGAGTGCCGCTCAGCACGAGGTTCAGGGCTGCCACATACTCCAGGAAGTCAATGGTGTTGTCCTGCATTGGGAGTGGGAGCTGCTAAGGTCTCTCAGACCTCCCCAGAAGGCAGGTGTGAGACTATTCAAGACTGTCTAGCCCTTAAACACAGGGCTTTTACTCTTACTTGCAATGGATGCTTCTTTGCTCATGCTACTCTCCACGTTGGGAATCCTTTCCCAGTCTCTGATTACCCAAGCAAGCCCTGGTGCTGCAAATGATTACTTGCTCAGCAGCTAACCAACAGGTTGGCAGTTCAAAGCCTTCAGCATCTTTGTGGGAGAACCTGGTAATTTACTCCCACAAAAATTACAGCCAAGGAAACCTTTTTGGGCAGTTGTACTCTGTCATATGAGGTTGCTATGAGTTGTAATTGACTTGCCACCACCTGACAACAACACAACACAATTACCCAATCCTACTCAACGGCAAACAACAACAACAACAACAAATCTGTCAAGCCTTCCTCCTCCAGGAAGCCTTCCTTCTCTGATTATTTAGGCACAGTGATCTCTCTCTCTCGCCATCCTAAAGTTCACAGTCCCTACTATTTATACTACACATTTCGGTAGTTACTCTGACATCATCACATAACTGTTTCATAAGTATGTCTCATTATAAGCTCCTGGAGAATAGGAAGGGATTCACATTCCTCCTGTTTCTCTTTCATGCCTAGCTTGGTACCATATATGCCCAGAGTCAGGGTTCCATAAATATTTATATGTCAGTGAATAAATGATTGACTCCAACTGAATTTGATATTAAGGTAATTTTGAAAGGAGATGAGAAAGCAGTGTTCACATTGAAAATTCCAGTTGCCCTCACATTCAAATCGGAGGCTTCCACACCATGAGCCTGAGGGCAGACAGGCAATGGCTGCAGTCCTCCCTCAGCCTCTAGACCTCTCCATTGGGTGGACATTACACAGATGGACAGTCCTGCACACTTCCCCCCACCCAGGAAGGAGAAGCAGGAATTAGAGCTCAGGGAATAATTGGGCAAAGGAAGGAAAAGGGGCACACTCCACTTCTAAGAAGTCAGCTGAGTGTTCCTTTCATGTGACTCTAAATTTTCCTCTCACAAAAATGGGACAGCAATAATTATTCCAAAAACGGCAAATAAGTGGAGGGGAGAACACTCTTGTTTTTCTATTCCAAATGAGTCTGCAGTGGAAGATTGGTGCTGGGGGTGAAGGGTGGATGTCACAGTGAGTCAGTTGGCCCAGGGTTCCCGGCTGAGCTTCCTCATACAGAGTTGGCATGTCAGCTTTCCAAATTAAAAATCTGAGTCCTCAGCACCTCCAGAAGTGATGTTGTAATCGGAAGTAACACTGCTGGCCCAGAGCACTTCTGTCCTCCTGAGTCAGGCCTCTGAGGAGACCCAACAACAGATCAGGGGTTGTCTGGGTAAGCAAGGTTTGAGCAACAGGAGAAAAATGGGAAAAAATGGAGGTAGCAAAAAAGGAAGAAAATAGAAAGATTTTATCAAAAAGAAAAATCAAGAATAATATAAAACTAGCCTAATCCCAACACCTGGGAGGCCTGGTAGCATAGTGCCTAAGGCACTTGACTGCTAACCAGAAGGCCGGTGGTTCAAACCCACCAGCCACTCCTCGGAAGGAAGATGGGGCAATCTACTTCCGTAGTGATACTGCCTCGGAAACCCAAGGAGGGGTCACTATGAGTTGGGTCCGACTCATTGGTACATAACAACAACAACAATCCCAACACCTAACATTTTATTTTTTATTCAACAACTTCTGTATAATTCCTTCTGGATATTTTCTCCAGGCATATATTTACCTAATGGAGGTCAGATGGTTTCTATGGTTTTATTTACTGAATTTGTATTTCAGCTTTCCCCATGTCTTTAGAAATTATTTAAAACCATTATTTTTTTTTTTTTTTGCGGTGGAATACTGGGCATTCCTTCTTGTTGAATGTGGTTTTAATATTTTATGTTACACAATGGACATCTTTCTGCATGTGTATTTTTCTTACATCTCTGGTAATTTCTTTGGGGTAGATTCTTAGTAGTGATTGTTCTTTCAAGGGCTATTTTCATTCATAGTTACAATTTATGAAGATTATTATGAGTTGAGGAGCTCTGGTAGTGTAGTGCCTAAGGCACTTGACTGCTAACCAGAAGGCTGGCAGTTCAAACCCACCAGCTATGCCTCAGAAGGAAGGTTGGGCAATCTACTTCTGTAGTAATACCGCCTCGGAAACCCAAGGAGGCGTTGCTATGACTTGGGTCCGACTTGATGGTACATAATAACAACAACATTATGAATTGATCTTATGCTTCTTTATAAAACAACAATTAAGTTTAAAATATATCCAAAATGGCTGGGAGGGTCCATCTGACTTATAGCATCATCTCCCTCAGGTCTGCTATATTCTTTTCAGATAAGGAACCTGAGAGTCAGAGGCTAAATAAGCTGCCCAAGACCACGCAGCCAGCAAGTGCAGGAGCTCTCAAGCTACACATCTTCTCAGCTCAAGTTTTAAGAACTTTCCTTCTTCACTCAAGGTCTCACTGACTCACTGCTGTCGAGTCAGTTCCGACTCATAGCAACCCCTCCTTGGGTTTCCAAGGCGGTATCTCTATGGAAGTAGATTGTCCAGTCTTCCTTCTGAGGAGTGGTTGGTGGGTTTGAACTGCAAGCCTTCTGGTTAGCAGTCAAATGCCTTAGGCACTATGTCACCAGAGTTCCTACTCAAGGTCTATTTCTGTCTGAAAAACTAGCCCAGTATCCAGCACTAAGGGGAGAAATAATCAAGAAAACCCTGGACAAGTCTCTATTCTCCAGATCTCTAGACTCTCCCTCATTCTTTGTCTAGAACCTTCTATTCTCATCACATCCTGTCTCAACACCTTGGAGTTTCTACCATGACTCTTTGCCTTATATGAGGCACAGTCTAGAGTAGCCCCTTCCAGATGAGTGATCTCACTGGTGAAGTTCCTTCAAACCCCAGGGCCATTTCTGGCATGTTTCTGGCTAGAACTAATCTCATCCACTGTGCATGGGCTCTTGTCAGTTTCAATTACCCAGAAAGGCCTAAGAATGATGGAAACGCCTCTGTCTACTCAAGAGTAGGAGCAGATGTGATGGGGTGTGATCTGCTCTGTAAGATTATCTGCCCTATTTCTCCCTTAATTGATTTCCTTTGTGCACCAGCCCTGACCTCCCCCCTCCCCAATCTATGCTATATAAGAATCCCAAATACCATTTGCTCTTAATCCTCCCTTTTCATCTATTTCAGTTCATCACAGGACAGCTACTGGGAAAGAAAGTTGCCATGGAAGTAGTAGACACAGAATATTCCTACCCCCTTACCTCCATCAAATGCCCGTTTCTATCATTCCATATTTTGTTTTTTAATTTTTAGTGTGATTTAGGTGAAATTTACAGAGCAAATTCATTTTCCATACAGCAGTTCATACACACTGTTTCATGACATTGACTGAAATTCCCCACAATATAACATGTTGTTGCACTCTGTATTTTGAAATGTGAGCTAGATCTATGAACTCTTTTGTTTCTATTTACCCTAGACATCTTACACTAAGTGCCCAGAAATGATATAAAGATGGCATCAAGTTGGAGTAGTATATGGGATTGGAGAGATACACTAAATGGGTAAAGAAAGAAGACAGAGGAACTTAAAAACACCTTCTAGGAAAGCTCTTTCTTACAGTAGGATGCTAACTAATAAATAAAGAAGGAAAGATGGAGTTAGAGAATCATCAATGGAGTTCAAAACTAGTAGATGAAAACTGGATGAACAACAGGATATTTATTTGGTCTGAAAGTATCTCCTGTAAAACAAACAAACAAGCAAAAACAAAAAAACAAACTCACTGCCGTCAAGTCAGATCCAACTCAAAACAAGCCCTCCTTGGGTTTCAACTGCCAGCCTTCTGGTTAGCAGTTAAATGCCTTAGCACTATGTCACCAGAGCTCCTGCTTCTTAATTACAAAGGGAAAAATAATGACTTTGTAGTCAAAAAACCTGTCCCCTTAACCAAATAATTTAAGTTAGGCTTACCAGTAATAGGACAAACTGACATCATGTACTCCCTGATATCATGTACAGAGAAGGACATAACATCACTTCTGTGGTATTACTGTAAGAATTGTATAAGCTGAATCTAATCATGAAGAAAGATTAGACAAGCCCAAACTGTGGGACATTCTTCAAAATAATCGGTGTGCAATCTTCAAAAATGTCAAGGTCAAGTAAGACAAAGGAAGGCTGAGATTAAAGGTTGAAGATTAAGGAGACATGACAAGTAAATGTAAAGATCAAGACAAAAAAATTAAAAAGCTATAAATGATATTATTGAGACAACTGGCCAAATTTGAATATGGAGTACTGATTAGGTAATAGAATTGCTATATTTCCTGCTTTCAATAATTCTATTAGGTTATCTAAGAGAATATCAAAGGCAGTGGGTTTGGTTTTGGGTTTAGGTGGGGACATTTGACTGGGAGTCAATACTCCTGAAGATTGTGGACAAATCAATTCACTTTCTTTTGCCCCAGTTTTCTCACTGATTACTTTGAGTAACAAAAAATACCCTTCTCCTTCACAGGAAGCCATGAGACTTGGTGGAGGAAAGGAAAAGCTTTGAGAAGCCTGAAGCTAGCTCTGTGTCCTTCAAAGAGGGTTTCTGTAGTATTGAAGATGCTGACCCCACCCCAACACTGAGGCTGGGATGCTAGGAGCTGACAGCTTCAAGAGAAGCTGGCCTGCGGAAGCATTCCTCTTGACTCAGCTTTGCCCCCAGGCAGCAGGGAGCAGTGGCAGACAGGACCAGCAGGAACAGGTAAGGGGTAGCACAGGAAGTGAGTGGAGTGGTTAGAACAGCTATGGGAGATGAACTTGACTGTCAGTTTGTCTTACTGTGGTGGCTTGTGTGTTGCTGTGAGGCTGGAGGCTGTACCAGCAGGGGTGCTCATGGTGGACCAGTTTTGGTGGAGCTTCCAGACTGAGACAGACTTGGAAGAAGGAAGAGGTCATCCACTTCTCAAACAATTGGCCAGTAAAAACCTTATGAATAGCAGTGAAAAACTGTCTGATATATTACTGGAAAATTTTATGAATAGCCCTGAAACACTATCCAATATAGTACCGGAAGATGAGCCCCTCAGGTCAGAAAGCACTCAAAACATGACTGGAAAAGAGCTGCCTCATCAGAGTAGAGCCTACCTTAATGATATGGATAAAGTAGAGGTTTTGAGACCTCCATTTGCTAAAGTGGCATGACTCAATATGAGAAGAAACAGCTACAAACATCCATTGATAATTGGAACATGGAATGTACAAAGTATGAATCTGGGAAAATTGGAAGTTGTCAAACATGAAATTGAATGCATAAAGATTGATATCCTAGGTATTAGTGAGCTGAAATGGACCGGTTTTGGCCATTTTGGCTATATTTTAGATAACCATATGATCTACTATGCTGGGAATAACAAATTGAAGAGGAATGGTGTGACATTCAGCATCAGAAAGAATGTTTCAAGATCTATCTGAAGTGCAATGCTGTCAGTGATAGAATAATATCCATAAGCCTACAAGAAAAGCCAGTTAATACTACTATTATTCAAATTTACACACCAATCACCAAAGGCAATGACAAGGAAATTGAAGATTTTTACCAACTTCTGCAGTCTGAAATTGACCAAACATGCAATCAAGATGTGCTGATTATCCCTGGTGACTGGGATGCAAAAGTTGGAAACAAAGAAGAATCATCGGTAGTTGGAAAATTTGGCCTTGGAGATAGAAATAATGCTGGAGATTGCATGATAGAATTTTGCAAGCCCAATGACTTATTCACTGCAAATACCCTTTTTCAACAGCACAAATGGTGGCTATACACATGGACTTCACCAGACATAGTGCACAGGAATCAGACGGACTACATCTGCAGCAAGAGGTGATGGAGAAGCTCAATATCTTCAGCCAAAACAAGGCCAGGAGCTGATTGTGGAACTGACCATCAACTGCTCATTTTCAAGCTCAAGTTGAAGTTGAAGACAATTAAGTTCACGAGACCAAAAATATGACCTTGATTTTATTCCCCCTGAATTTAGAGACCATTTAAAGAATATATTTGATGCATTGAACACCAGTGACTGAAAACCAGAGGAATTGTGGAATGACATCAAGAACATTATCCATGAAGAAAGCAGAAGGTCATTAAAAAGACAGGAAAGGAAGAAAAGACCAAAATGGATGTCAGAAGAGACTCTGAAACTTGCCCTTGAATGGAAAGTAGCTAAAGCAAATGGAAGACATGACAAGATAAAAGAGCTATACAGAAGATTTCAAAGAGCAGCTCGAGAAGACAAAGTCAATTATTATAATGAAATGTGCAAAGACATGGACTTGGAAAGACAAAACAGAAGAACACACTCAGCATTGCTCAAGCTGAAAGAACTGAAGAGGAAATTCAAGCCTCACGGTGCAATACTGAAAGATTCTATGGGCAAATATATTGAATGATACAGGGATCATCAAAAGAAGATGGAAAGAATACACGGACTCACTGAACCAAAAAAAAAAAAAAAGTCAATGTTCATCTATTTCAGGAGGTCGCATATGATCAAGAACCAATGGTATTGAAGGAAGAAGTCAAAGCTGCACTGAAGGAACTGGTGAAAAACAAGGCTCCAGGAACTGACGGAATACCAATTGAGATGTTTCAACAAACGGATGCTGCATTAGAGGAACTCACTCAGCTATACCAAGAGATTTGAAAGACAACTACCTGGCTGACTAACTGGAAAAGATCCATATTTGTACCCATTCCAAAGAAAGGTGATCCCACAGAATGTGGAAACTATCAAACAATATCATTAATATCACACACAAGTAAAATCTTACTGAAGATAATTAAAAAACGGTTACAGCAATATATTGACAGAAAACTTCCAGAAATGCAAGCTGGATTCAGAAGAGGATGTGGAACAAGGGATATCATTGCTGATATCAGATGAGCCTTGGCTCAAAGCAAAGAATACCAGAAAGATGTTTACTTGTGTTTTATTGACTATGCAAAGTCATTTGTTTGTGTGGATCATAACAAATTACAGATAACATTAAGAAGAATGAGAATTCCAGAACACTTAATTGTGCTCATGAGGAACTTGAACATAGACAACGAGGCTGTCATTTGAACAGAACAAGGGGACACTGCATGGTTTAAAATCAAGAAGGGAGTGCATCGGGGTTGTATCCTTTCACCATACTTATTCAATCTGTATGCTGAACTAATAATCCGAGAAGCTAGACTATATGAAGAAGAACGTGGCATCAGGATTGGAGGAAGCCTCATCAACAACCTGCATTATACAGTCAACACAACTTTGCTCACTGAAAGTGAGGATGATTTGAAACACTTGCTGATGAAGATTGAAGACTACAGTCTGCAGTATGGATTACAGCTCAACATAAAGAAAAAGAAAATTCTCACAACTGGACCTATAAGCAGCGCCATGATAAATGGAGGAAAGATTGAAGTTGTCAGACTTAATATTACTTGGTTCTACCATCAACACCAATGGAAGCAGCAGCCAAGATATCAGATGTCGTATAGCATTTGGCAAATCTGCTGCAAAGGTCCTCTTTCAAGTGCTGAGGAGCAAAGATGTTTCCTTGAAGACTAAGGTGTGCTTGACAGTATCAGATGTCAGCATTTGGCAGGAGCTCTGGTAGCATAGTGCCTAAGGCACTTGACTGCTAACCAGAAGACTGTCGGTTCAAACCCACCAGCCACTCCTCAGAAGGAAGGTTGGGCAATCTACTTCCATAGTGATACTGCCTCGGAAACCCAAGGAGGGGTTGTTATGAGTCAGGGCTCATAGCTATGAGTTATGTAACAACAACATAGCATTTGGCAAATCTGCTGCAAAGGACATCTTTCAAGTGCTGAGGAGCAAGGAAGTTTCTTTGAAGACTAAGGTGCACTTGACACAAGCCATGGTATTTTCAATAGCCTCATATGCATGGGGGAGCTGGACAATGAAAAAGGAAGACAGAAGAAGAGTCGATGCTTTTGAGTTGTAGTGTTGGCTCAGAATGCTGAAAGTACCATGGACTGCTAAAAGAACTAACAAATCTGTCCTGGAAGAAGTGCAGCTGTAATGCTCCTTGGAAGCGAGAATGGCCAGACTTTGTCTCATCTATTTTGGTCATATTGTAAGAAGGGACCATTCCCTGGAGTAGGATATCATGCTTGGCAAAGTGGAGGGACAACAAAAAAGGGGAAGCCCCTCAATGAGATGGAGTGACACAGTGGCTGCCACAATGGGCAGAAGTGGGGGAAGAGGAAGACAGAAAAGGTGAGAGGGAAATGGAGAGAAAAGATTGTGGGGCTGGCACAGGACCGGACAGTGTTTCGTTCTGCTGTACATCTGGTTGCTATGAGTTGGAGGTAACTCGATGGCATCTAACAACAACAGCCTTGAAAGGTCGGCCAGTGAAGTCCTCCACTCACCGAGAGGTAGAGTACTGAGGCTTTCTCCAAGTTAGTGGTCCAGGTCCAATCCACTCCCTCAAAAAATATGGAAGTGAAATACATATTTGAGGTAGACCTACTTGTGTAAAAGATTGCAGGGGCACTGAACTACATGGTCTTGAATAATCAAAGGGTATCAATTTTTAAGTTCAGTTCCCAGGTGTTTTCCAAATTTTTTACCTTCTTAGCTGCTGGTGACACTGGAGGGCTTAAAGAAACCCTGATGATTGAATGGCTTCATGGAATCTTCCATGACTAGAAGAATTGAAAGGGGCATTTGCAATAATTCCTTTCATCTGCCAGCCAGTGCAGGCATCTCCTCCAGCATCTTGATGAGAAAGACCTGACAAGTCTCAGTCTGAACCACCTCAACATGGGGGAAGCTCAGTCTACTGCAGGCCAGCTCGTCCCATTTGGGACAAGGTCTTAGCTTTGCATGTTTAGAGTGACAGGGGCTCTGGTGGGTGTGAAAAACAAGGTCCATGGGCTGCAGAGACCTTGCCAAAACCATGCAAAGAGAGAGTGCAGACTCTGTCCTTCTTCCCAGTCTGTCTTCAGCTCTCAGGAGGAGGGAGAGGGAGACTCTGAGGGAAGCTAAGAGACCAAGAGAGGACAGGTGAGACTCAGAAGAGATAAGTCAAGATGGGAAGGGACAGGATGAGGTGGAGAGAGAGGAGAAAAGTTGGGGGAAGAGGAAGACAGAAAAGGTGAGAGGGAAATGGAGAGAAAAGAAGAGCACAGGAAGAAGCAGGAGGAATGAGGACCTGGGAGCTCCCACTCAAGATGTTCTTTGTGCTCAAGGGTGAAAAGTGGGTCAGGTGGACTGGTCATTGGTTCTCCCCTCCAAGGTACCTTACCCCATTCTTGTCGAAGGCTCGGAACATGCCCTCTACATACTGAGTGGCCTCCTCATTGCCTGTAACCTTGAAGAAGCGCTTGAACTCATGCATGAAGAGTGTGCCGCTGGGACACTCCACCACAAACTTCTTGTACCACTCCTGGAGTTCGGCGATGTCCATCTCACCAGCTGCCTCTGCCTCCTCCCAGCTGAACTGCTGCCCCATCCTAGCCCAAGGAACGTTGGGGAACAAGGGTCTGTTGTGTCTTCAGGGCCTCTGTGGATTGATTCCTTAGGCTATGGCCCTTTTCTTTTCTTTGCTTAAACAGCCACTTGATCATCTCCTAGGCAATTGAATATGATCAATTGGTGGTGTTGGAGACAGACTGCAAATGGGGAGGGGCCCCAGGTCCAGGCCAGCTAAGCTGCCCTAAGATCATTAGAGGATTCTCCTAGAAAGTCTGACCTGCAGACTGCTACGTGCCTCTTGTCTCACTCCTCCCTTTGGCCTTGCCAACCAAGCAACTAAGTCAGACCAGCAGATTCTGAGGAGGAAAAAGGGGGAAGAACCTGAGAGGTAGTTGGAGGGTGGAGTGATGAAGAGATGGGAAGACCCTCCCATCTCATACTCTCTCCCTGTCCCATTAGTTGGACACACAAAACTCCAAAGAAGCCCTTCTTGGGGACATAGGAGATTCCAAGGTCTGGGAAAGAAGACAAACTCAAAGCTCATAAAATAGAATCTGCTGGTGACCTGGGCCCCCTGTCCCCAGTGTGGTCTAGAGAGAACAGCAGAATCTATGATATGAAGGGCTGCTCTGTTCACAAGTTATCTTAGCCCCCAGAGCAATACCTGAAGCTCCACTAAAGATCACACCTTTGTCTTAGAACTTTTTCATTTTCCCACTTAAAGTATATACACCTCCCTCTGACATCCTTCACCCCAAATTCACACCTACAACCAAGGCTTTTCCTACTTTCCCTTCAAACTACTAATGGTGACAAAGATCTGGAAGCATGGCCTAAAATATCTTTGAAGGCTCTTACTTTTTCATAAAAGATTCACATAACTTTTTTGGTGTCAAATCAAATTACATATTCACGTTTGTTTTTGTTTTCCTTCACCCCCCCCATTTATGTATTTATTTTTATATTCATGTTTATTTTAATAGAAAAATGATGGCTCCAAGAGATCAGATCAGGAGCACTGATTTTTCTATATTAAGGGCAATCGTCTCAATGAGTCTATAGTTAGCCTCAGAGGTGACAATCTCCATCCCAATTGGCCGTTCATCCCCAAATTGTTTTGTACATCTTCAGGCCTGACTCTCACTGCTTCCTGCCCCCTGTACATCTCTCAAAGTTCCTTTAACTTTCTTGCTCATCCTGAAATAGGAACCCTCCTTCCTCTGTTGTCCATTCAAGTACTGGTGGATTTCTGGAGAGTAGTTAGTGTCCTCCGAGTTCCTCATTGTTGCCTCCAGTGGACTTTTTTCTTTTCTCCTTCAGACATGGAAGCCCCGTAGAAGCCGTTCTGACTCCTGATACATACACACACAAATCCTTGTTGTCATTGTTCCCATGTGACTTCACCACTTGGTTCAAGCATCATCTTAGTGACTTCAACATCCAAGGGGAGAGATGATCCATCCCACACAAAGGTCCTTGATCTCCTTAGCGCCAAAGAGCTTTTCTTCCTGCCCTCCCCACCTTGGCTTCCATTCACATGTGGTCCCTGGATCAGCAACTCTACCATTTGGGAACTAATTAGAAATGCAAATTGTTGGGCACCAATCCCCACCCACTTATGATTCCAGAGTCCCTGGGTAGTGCAAATAGTTAACATGCTTGGCTGCTAACTGAAAGGTTGAGGTTTGGCACCTTGGCCATCTATTTTCAAAAACTCAGCCATTGAAAATCCTGTGGAGCACAGTTCTGCTCTGACCCACATGGGGTCACTATGAGTTGGAACAGAATCAAAGGCAATTAGTGGTGGTGGGGCCAGGTGATCCAATGTACACTGAAGATTGAGAGTCACTACCCTAGACTTTGCTATCATCAATTTCTCTGCCATCTCAGAAACATTCAAGTTGCACTGCATTCCTTCATCCTCATCACCTCTCCTGGCTCTCTTATGCTAACCTTCACTCCAGTAGTTCACCAGCCTTAACTAGGCTTCTAATCTGTTGATTTAATAGATTCTTTTATCATCCATTACCTCCCTCATATCCTCACTTTCCCCATTCTCTTTACTTCACAGCTTAGAACTCTAGCCATTTCCTTACTATAACATGGACTTTGGTGCCCTTCTTTCCCTCCAACTACTCACTTGATAAAATCTGACCCAAGTCAAAGGTATCCACTAACTGTGCACTAACACCTCACCTGCACCCAAGAGACAGAATATTGCTAGAGAAAATCAGAGAATCATACGGGAGCTCTGGTAGCATAGTGGCTAAGGCACTTGACTGCTAACCAGAAGGCTGGCGGTTCAAACCCACCAGCCACTCCTCGGAAGGAAG